CTCAAATAATATTACCCTAGTAACCATTTATTGGTTATTGGTTTRACAAGAAAATTACACCAATTTTCTACCAGTAATTGCAGCTTGTCGTTTCAGACATAAAATAAAATATTATGACACGCAAACCTCTGATTGGATGAATCACTTTACTACACAAACGTTTGAAAATAATCAACAACTGGAATATTGTTAAGAAAACTTTTTGTTTTTTTTGCTGGTAGACTACAAAAAAGATTTTTAAAATTGCTAATATTAGCAATTTAATTAAAATTTTAGAAGCCAAATGTGTTTTATTTCGACCGAATTACTAAATCACTCCTGCTTAGTACATTTGGACATATGCCAAGCTAGATGTTGAAGATAACAGTCTTAAACTTGACAGAGAGATGACTAGGCTATCAGGCGCCTCCCTCATCGACAACAAAAAGTCTGTAGCCCAACAGCAACAGCACCGTAAAGTCTGCCGTTACGTGAAATTTATAGTTGTAGTTTGGCKCTGTCACGATGCCAACTACCTAAACAAATGTTACCAGGGCGTCATCAAAAACAAAGACATTTTCAACAACACTTTACGAATTTTTAATATATGTTTATCCAACGGCCGACATAACACATTTTTTGTCGTAAATGCTTAAAGTATGAACATTTTTAGAAAATCTTAGTAAAAATCTGTCTCTAACATCCAGTATTGGATCGATAAAGCTTGCCTTAATTTAGTTGTTACTTGCAGCTGGCACCTAAAACAGGAAATTGGTGGAGGCGCCGGAAAACTCCTAGTTTTTTTTCTAAGATTAGTTTAGCTCTACTAGAATGGAATTGTAATCTCCAATTTAGCAAAACTACCAATGCATAAGTTACTTTTTTTTCAGGTTAAATTTCTTTAATTTTTGAAAACGTTTAAAACTTTTTTTACACAAAAACAGAATAAATTTTGTTCTACTAAAGTTTTTCAAGATCAATAAACATCTTTTCCCTAGAAATCTTGAAGTGTGTACATTCTATTCAATGATAAAATCTATTCTTTATTTTAAAACCATTTTATACAAAAATGTAGAAATGCCTTTTGACAAATCAGTAAATGCAAATAAATAACTACAAAAAAAAATTGTGTTTTCTTTGACAACCAAAGGTAACAATAAATCGTTATATTTAGCACGGGAGAAATAAAGTTTTTTTTAACACTGAAAAAAATTAAGTGCATAAACAATATTTTATAAAAAAAATTAAAACAATCTTTTTACTTCAAAGTCTTATTTACACTTCTTTTTTCATTGCACATTCAAGTAATAATAAAACAGTAGTTAGTTTGTCATATTAAAAGATAAATTTATGACTTGCTTTATAAAAAATGATCGTAGTTGTGCATAATAATTTTTGTTACTTTTTTGTAAATATTTGCAGCTATAAACAGTCAAGATTATTTAAAAGTTTAAGTTTTAACTTTAACTACTTCACTTTTTTGCCTTCACAGAAAGTTCCTTCTCTACAACCCTTCCTATCTCATTTTTCATACCCTAAGCTAATGTTCATTTGCCTAAAAAAGCAAACAAGAGCAAAACCAAAGTGACGACTTCTTAAAAACTCCATAATTAAAGAAAATGCACGCACGACGAAAAATTTTAACGACATGGAGACTGGCGCCTTGTTATCGATTGCTATTAAAGCGTCGCGACGCTTCCCTGGCGCCACCTTCTCTCCAATAGCGCCAGTAGACAAATACAGGAAACTTACAACACATGCAAAATGTTCACAAACAACTTACACTTTTGTTATCTATAAAATGCCCTCCCAGATCTATATATTGCGGTGGTATCGGTTTGGTCTCTTCCTTAAAGGGCGACTTTTCCTTTTTATGCCTCTCATCGATGGCATGCCCATGGTAGTCTCGATAAATGCCCTGCGAGTCSACGAAATGCAATTGGAACGWGTGACTGACACCATGCGAGTCCAAATACTGGCCAGAGTCCCTCTTGCTCTTATGGTCTACCTCATCGTGACCATTATGGGGCGAATGCTCAATGTGGGGATGCGGCAAAACGGGAAAATCGCGCGAATGGTGGCCTTCTTTGTGATGGTGGCCTTCTTTGTGATGTTGTGAGTCCTTATGGTCCTTGTGGTCCTTATGATCTTTATGATCTTTATGGTGGTGGTCACTCTCGTAGTAGTCTTTGAAATGGTGATGGTCTTTGTGATAGTGCTGATGAGGCACGTGGTGATGGGAGGCTTCCACCAATGTTGGTTGGATGTGAGTCACAAATTGCGCCATTTTGGAGATTCACATAATGAAAGTTTGAACAATTGGTGCTTTTGAGGAGTTAGCAAGTACTAGCTTCGAAGGCAGCTGGCTGTGCAAAAAGTTGTATTCCGTTATTTATTTGTTTTATTATGATGTAAACAATCAGTATAGCAATAATTAAAAAAAAAACAAAGGTTCTAAAGCGTACAAACAAACTTTTTCTTACTTTAGTGACATTCCGTGCATTTCTACAGCAAATGATAACATAAATAGCTGCTCACACTTAGTTTTTAGACCACTTGTTTAGGGTTTTTGATCAAAATTTAAGAAATATAAATTTTAAGATTTTATGTCACTAGGATTTTTTTGTTCTATTTTATTTTTATGTATATGCTATTTCTGTTGCTTTTTTTTGGTGTTGTACGTAGTGGTATTTAAAAAAAATCTACGCAACGGCTAAATAGTGTTGCACTACAATATGAAATATGTTCAAAACTGTTACATATTGACATACAGAGTGTCCCAGCGAGTTGAAAAAGTCCATTAGTGACCTTTAAATGGTAAAATTTAAAAAAATTGTATAGGACATTGATACATACAAATCACCTAAAATTATTTTCAACCATACAGCATGTCCCAAAAATAAATTACGATACAAACTTGTGTTTTCTTAAATGAAACACCGTATATTTCCTTGCATTTTTGAATGTAGCCTTTTAAATTTTTACGCTAAACTTTTAGGTTTTTTTTTGACGAAAACATGCACTTTTTAAAGATTTATTACACAAAAACTACAGCTAGAACAATTTTTTTCTTACTTCTGCAAAGTGAAAAATACAGAATTTAAAGCTGTAGCAATTTTTTAGTGTTTTGCATTTGTAAAAATTAATAAATTAAGAAGTTTATTAAAAGGTAAATAACTTAAAAAATTTAAATGGAACACCCTATTTTTTATTTTTGCATCTAATAGACTAATAAATTGTCTATCTAAAAAAATTAACTTTGAATGTGAAAAGATATTTAACATTCAWTATGAAATTGTAGCAACAATGCCTATCAATATCTGAGCATTGCTGATACTATAACAACCATAGTAATACCACCAGAAATCACTTATCCATTGATTTATCCAGAGATTGTAAAAGTCGTTAAAAATACTAAAATTCGAATTATTTTATTGTAAAAACAAAGAATAATGGATTCAGTTTAACACAAATGTGATTATTAAGTGATATTTCTTCCATTTCTTGTGCAACTGTGCACTTTTTGGCTACTGAAACAATAGTAATTATTTTTTTGATTATAAACACCTAAAAGTAAATAATTTTAGAAAGACAAATTATTAATCTTTTAAATGCAAAAACAATAAATAGGGTGTTCCAAATAATTTTTTTAAGTTATTGAACTTTTAATAAACGCCTTCATTTTTTATCTTTGTAATACACTACACACACAAAACACTAAAAAAAAATATTACAACCTTATAGCTTGTACCTTCTTCTTTGTGGTAATAAAATAAAATATTTCTAGATGTCTTAGTTTTTGTGTAATAAACTGTATGTTTTCGTCAAAAAAACCGTCTTATTTTTGAAACTAAGCAAAATCGAACAATAAAAGTTTAGCTTAAAAACATTCTCATAAAAATCTACATCCAAAAACGCTAAGAAACATTWGGTGTTTCATTTCAAAACCCCAAGTTTATATTGTAACTTATTTTTGATACACGCTCCATAGTTGAAATTAATTTTAGGCGATGGACTAGATTAGTATCTATTATCAATGTCCTATCAGTTTTTTTTTTAATTTGAACATTTAAATTAAATTTACTAATGGACTTTTCAAACCGCTGACCCTGTATAACAATTTGAAATGAGTTTTACGTAAAAAGTATTGGGTTTACCATATCAAATTTTTGGAAAAACTTTGTGGATGTTGAAAAATAGCTACATAAATTTAAATACTTGCTTGTGTGGTTATTTATTATCGCTAAAAGTAGTTTTGTTTTTTTCAAACATCCAGGACTTTAGGGATTTGCGGAAGTAATTTATCATCATTTCAGATCCGAAGTTTTTTCCTTTTTCAGTCCAGAAAATTAAATCAAACGCAAACGCAATAAAGCCCTACAAATTCTATTGTTTTAACCCAGTTTCTGGGTGGAAAAAGCTTGTTTTATCAATTGACAGAATCGTGTTTACACCTGTCACGCCAACTATGTATATGACTACTAAAAATAGAGCAAATACAACGCCCTCTGCACCAAAACCACTTCCCTCGCCCCCAGCACCCCCAAACTTGCATAAGTAAATAGAAAAATTGCATTGCAACTTGAAGCTTTATTTACAACATCAACAAGACAACAGTTAAGATTTACCCCTCAAAAGCACCACCGATTTTTCGAAAAACAGCACTGTCACACTCGTGTTCAATGTTGCAAGAATGCAACCGTTCGACGCGACGGAAAACCTACAGATGAAAAGTTGGAAGCAAAAAGACTTGGTGGTGGCGGCGGCGTTTTCCCCAACTCGGCACCAGAGAGGGAATAAAATATTGAGATTCTGCCACGGTCCAGACGATGTAATCAATACGACCTTTTGGATGATCAAAACTCGACGAAAAGCAGTTTCGAGTGCTGGAATGACGGGATGTAAAGCCGATGAAAGCTTCGTAATGTGGTTCTATATTTGTTTCTATATCCTGGATGCATTTCGGGATTATAGAGGACAAGGACCGGAGGAACTTCCTCGAAAAGATTAAGAAGCACAAAAACATTTCTTTACTCTTTATTTCTGCAACAATAACACATACATCGATTTTTTATTATCACATGATGTAAACAGGCAAGCATATTTATTGGAAATACATAGGATAAATAAAATAATAAAATACTAATTCTAATTAAGAAATGAAAATACAGATTTTTTAGAATCTGGACTTCGTACAGCTAATAATATTACAGTAATGACTAGAATTAAAACTACGAAAATTAGAACACCAACGGCGGCACAAAGAACTCTTTCAAACGGACTCCATTTAGAGCAACAGCAGTACTGCTCATGAACTACACTGAAAAATAAAAAATTACAATAGAGCCATAGAAATTTCATTAAAAAATTCCTCCCTTAAATGTTTCTTTATTTTACTTTTATCCTACTATTAAAGTAATGATACTTCTAGATCACAAAGGAGAAAAAATAAACTTACCTTACTTGTGACTAATTTCGTAAAAACATGTGTTTTATTATATTTTTTAATATTAACAGATTTTACAATAAAGATAACACAGGTGTAGGGTTTAAATAACAAAAATAGACACATGTAGTAACTGATTAAACATGTTTTCTTGTAAGAAGTTTAAGCAAAAATTAAAAAATTAGAAAATCAAAACCTGAATTGGTAATGTCCTATAATAGTAAATATAATAAAAAATACACTTGAAAAAATGAAAGAAGAGTGTAATAAAAACATTTATTCATTGACAGTTTATAAAACTATAAATGGTTTAATACTTTCTGTAATCAAATACAGATAAAATCGCTTTAGTACTATCTGATTTCGCACAAGAACAATTACTTAATTCTACAGAAACAATTGCTATAGCTATGACTAGAAGAATGATAGTAAAAACTAAAACACCAACAGCAGCAAACAAAGCTCGTTCACAAGGAGTCCATGTCATACAGCAGCAGTATTGCTCACGAACGACCCTAAAGAACCATAAAATTAGCAAACAATCACAAGAAAAAAGAAAAAACAATTTGCAATGTAAAGAAAAGCCTTCAAACATTTTATCGCACATGTAGCTAAGTAGTCTTATCAGATACTTAAATATTTTTCAAAATTTTTGAGAAGATTGACAGATAAGCAATTAGCTTTTATAATAATTTGACTAAAAAAAATTGAAAATTTTGAAAATTTAAAATTAAAAAATGCTTACACACTATTGATGCTGGGGTTGATCGACGACCTCACACTGCTGGCAGCACTGTTAGCCCTCGAAATCCTCCCTCCACTCTCCATCTCAAACCCCGCATTATCCACCCCCATCCTATTGCTAACTTGGCTATTCTTCCTTGATGATCTACTATGCTTCTTCTTCTCATTTTCCCCCACCGCTAACTTTACATGGTCATTTACCACTTCCACGCTCACCCTGGCACCTCCCTTATCACCATCAACTACCTCCAACTCCGGAATAGCCGGTGGTACCGTCTTGACCTTCTTCTTCTTGGCTCCATAGTTCTGGGATTGTGTGTGTCTCAGAATGGGGGCTTCGGCCGTCGCTGCCGACTTGGGTTGGAAACTGTGTCGGAAGCTGTGGTCACGGGACACCTGGGGGCTGTCGTCCTTCGGCATGCTAGGCCTTGCGAAGCGTCTTGTGAGTCATGGACGGGCTCAAACACCTGTTTGGGATCACAATGTTTGCACGAAAAATTGATTTACGTTTATCTGTGTGTTCTCTTGGAGAGATAAGATAAGGTTTTCGTACGTAAGTGTTGAGTGGCGTAGCGATTGTGAGGAATATTCGCCTGTTGCGCGATTTATCGATTGGGATTTTGTCGAATAGATCGTTCATTATTGATGAGAAGGCACTTTGAGGAATGGTTTATTATTTATGTGAGAAAATTTTGCTTATCTTCACTGTGGCAGAATTTATTTCGAACAGAGGAACGACCGACAAGGGGAAGGGGTCAAGTTCGTTGTTATCGACTTGTGTTAGAAATTAAGAAAAGCAGTGATTAGAAGTTAGGAAGTGAAGAATATTTAAAAATAACAACTAATGCTTTGTAAAACACTGGCAGAAAATGATGCAACTAATTTTACACAATTGTAAGCTTCTCTTTTTCAGTGCTTCTTGAACCCCTAGAAATGCATTTGATTCAAGTTTCTTTTTTTAGATTCTTGTCAAAATTTTATTGATATCGTCAAAATTGTAAAATTTTAAATGTGTGTTTCTCAGAAACCATTTTCAGGAGGCTCTAGCTCTCTCAGAAAGCATTTCCAGACATAGGTCCATAAAAACTTTATTTCTTATTTTGACCTAAAAAACCACACCCCAAAATTTTTTAACGTTTTTCTTCGACATCCTGTATGTTCACAAGTAATAAAAAATGGGTAGTAATAAAGCAATCAGTAAATAATTCAATTATAATTAGTGTAAAATGATAAATGGTCAGTATGATATAATATTTTGCAAAGTAAAAATAATAAACGCTCAGTAACTTTAATCAAAATTGGTAAAACAACCTAAAATTTAAAAAATATTCAGTCGGTTACATAACAATGTATGGCCCCTGTGCAAGAATGTTATTTATTATTGGTACTTATTGTTTTATTACTGAATATTTATTATTATTGGAGGGTGGTATGTATATGTATTAGCAAGGGCCCCTGCACAAGAATGATTATAGCAAAGGCTGGAAACTGTGCACAAATGGTAATCAGTCAGCGTACGCCACTGCACTGCTGTGCTCCTGATACCACAAATTTGTTTTTGAACGCTTTGCGATATTCCGATTTTGCTCGGAAACATTTTGTTTGTAAATCTGTAAATATTGAATTAGTTTTGATAGACATTCATTCGTTGTCTTTACTATGCATTAATTATTATTTTTACTGAGCATTTGTTATTTTTACTGTGCATTTATTATTTTACTGTGCATTTATAATTTTTTCTGATCAAAAATACCTGTCYTTTAAATAATATACTGTGCATTTAATTAATTTATTTATTTAAAAAATTACTCTTAAAAGTAAATATCTCGAAAAGTAAAAATTAACTATTATTAATATTATGTTAAAAAGATGCGCAATAAAAAGTTTCATCAATTGGTTTGGTCAATTAAATAATATATTACAAGTATTAAAAATTTTCGTAAAAATAAACTACGAGTATAACAATCCTATCTACTAATATACTATCTAATATACTATCTACTACTGCTGGATTACCAAAAGTCTCATCATCGTGAAAAGTAAGATATAAGATATAATCGAATTTGCACCTACGTATTAAACGATGACTCAAAATTAACTACGTGTGCCAACTCTAGAAAAATGTAATTAAAACTAAAGATCTGCGGAAATGAGTCACTTTTAATACAAATATGTGTTTCGTGAGTTCGTGACCATATAAACACAATTATCCTTACCATTATCTTAAAGATAACATAAATCAACAATGAATAAGTTATACGATAAAAATTCATTTTAGATCAATACGACATTTTAATCCCCCAAAAATTAATCACAATCAGCATTAAAAAATAATGTGAAAGTAATAACACGTGGGCCGAACAGACCGAAAAAAGGATTATAATCTTCCGGTCCCTACAGCCCAATCACATTAACATAAAAATTAATTCAAACCCACTTATTTATCAATTACCAACAACAAAGAACAAATAATTCGTTCGTTGTACTCGAAAGTATCTCATTCCTTCTATCAAAATAATAATATTTTTACTCTGCGATAACGTACATGTTGCTACGCTGATTAAAGGCTATCAAGTTCTCATTGAACTTGTATTCATCCTCAACATGTTCACAAGAACACTAGTCCCGGCATGCATTTTAGCCGGAATTTGTTTTAATTTGTGTTCACCAGCGGCCATAAAAAGTGCAACCCAATGCGGCTATCAGGTTAGTTAGATTCCTTCAAACAAAACTTTAAAAAAATTCTTGTAGTCGTGTAACCCCGTCAAGGACGGATTCATCAACGTCCATCTCGTCCCACATACTCATGATGATGTCGGCTGGCTCAAAACCGTCGATCAGTATTACTACGGAGCCAACAATTCGATTCAAAATGCCGGTGTTCAATACATCATCGATTCAGTAATCGARGAATTAAAGAAAGACCCCAAAAGAAAATTTATCTACGTCGAAACGGCCTATTTTTGGAYGTGGTGGATTCACCAACACGATTTTGTCAAACACCAAGTCAAAACTTTCGTCAATAATGGCCAATTGGAGTTCATTGGGGGTGCGTGGAGTATGAATGATGAGGCCACGACGCACTACCAGTCAATCATCGACCAGTTTACTTGGGGTTTAAGGTAATAATCTCACTGGCGTGAAAATTGTCCTGAAAAAATYTTTCAGGAAACTGAATGATACTTTTGGCGAGTGTGGTCGCCCTAAAATTGGGTGGCAAATCGACCCATTTGGGCACAGTCGAGAAATGGCGTCTATTTTTGCCCAATTGGGGTTCGATGGACTGCTTCTAGGTCGAATTGACTACGAGGATAAAGACAAGAGATTCGAGTCAAAAACACCAGAAATTATATGGAAAGGGAGTGACAACATAGACGCTGATATTTTCACAGGAGTGATGTACAACACTTATGCGCCCCCTAAAGGCTTCTGTTTTGACATCATGTGCAACGATGAACCCCTTATTGACGATACGAAAAGCCCACTTTACAATATTGAGCGGAAAGTCGCCGATTTCTTCGCTTATCTTGACAATGTAACTAAAGTTTACACCACCCCTAATGTTATAATCACAATGGGGGAAGATTTTAACTACCAAGATGCCCATACGTGGTTCAAAAATTTGGACAAGCTTATCTAGTAAGTTTCTAACAATTTTGTAACAACTTATTAAAAAAAATTCCAGTTACGCCAACCAGAAACAAGTTAATGGTTCCAAATACAACCTAATCTACTCCACCCCTTCCTGCTACATCAAAGCCGTCCATGACTCCAACCAAAAATTCGTTTCAAAAACCGACGACTTTTTCCCCTACTCTTCTGATGGTAACTCCTTCTGGACCGGTTATTTCACATCACGGCCTACTCTGAAACGTTTCGAACGCCAAGGCAACAATTTCCTCCAAGTGTGTAAACAACTATACGCTTTAGTCGACCTTGGGCCTGAAGATTGGGTCGATTTGAACGCCTTGAGGGAAGCCATGGGTGTGATGCAACACCACGACGCCATCACTGGTACCGAAAAACAACACGTGGCCGAAGATTACGCCCGAATTCTCCAAGGGGGGATCGACGAGTGTCAATTTATTGTAAATACAGCCCTGAGTAAAATAATAACAGGGGAGAATAGTACGGGACCGGATCCGGGACCGAAATTCCCCATAAATACCTGCTGGTTGACCAACACCAGCTCGTGTCCGTTTAGTGAAGATCAGGATAATTTTGTTGTCACCGTTTATAATCCGTTGAGTCGGCCTGTGACAAAGTATGTGAGACTTCCGGTCACGGGAGAGGCCTATAGCGTCAAATGTCCACAAGGAAAAGAGCTTTTGACACAAATGATCCCAATTCCGGACGCTGTGAGAAATATTCCGGGTCGTGTGAGCAAAGCAACAGTTGAGTTGATCTTTGAAGCGGCTTATTTGCCACCACTTGGGTTCAAATCATACACCGTGAGTAAAAAAACCGGAAACGAAGTAACCAAAGAGGAAAAAATCAGTGAGGTCAAAGATGGAGAAGTCGGTTTTACTCTAGACCCCAACACGGGATTATTAAAGACTGTTATTTTAAACGGAAAAACTGTAGATGTCAATCAAGAGTTTCTCTACTATGAAGGCTTCATTGGTAACAATCAAGAACCGAAAAATCGTTCGTCGGGAGCTTATATTTTCCGGCCGATTCCGGGTAAAGATCCGGTCGTGGTAGCAGATAAAGTTGACTTTAAAGTCTTTAGAGGAAACTTGGTTTCTGAAGTACAACAAATTTTCAACGAATGGATCACTCAAACAATTCGGGTCTATAGAACGGAAAGTTACATCGAATTTGATTGGATTGTTGGCCCAATCCCAGACAAGTAAGTCACAATCAAAGCCCAAAAATCGTTTCAAGTCATTTTTTAGAGACGTCAATGGTAAAGAAATAATCACTCGCTTCACCACACCCCTTGARWCTAAATCGACCTTTTACACGGATTCAAACGGGCGAGAAATGCTGAAACGTGTTCGAAATGCACGCCCGACGTGGACACTAAGCCTCCAGGAACCCGTTTCTGGCAATTACTACCCAATAACATCAAAAATAGTCCTAGTTGATGAATCTCAAGACTTGGAATTGGCGGTTTTGACAGATAGGGCCCAAGGCGGTACCAGTCTTCAAGATGGCCAACTCGAAATAATGGTTCACCGTAATTGCCTCCACGACGATGCTTTCGGAGTCGGTGAAGCCCTCAATGAGACGGCTTTTGGGCGCGGTTTGGTAGCCCGAGGATCGCATTTTTTGACTCTTGGGTCACATTTTAATAAAACTGGAAATGTTAGCACAGCGGCGCTGGAAAGGGATATAGCCCAAAGAAAAATTCTAGATTCTTGGGTGTTCATATCAGCACCTTATAATGACACCAAATATCTTAAAGAAGTAAAAATTAATGTTTAAATTAAATTTGAAGTAACTTGGGTTCAGTTTTCAGGTCTGAAGCGAGCCTTGCCTGACAATGTCCAGATTTTGACTCTAGAGCCGTGGAAAGGCTTCAGTTTTCTCCTACGACTCGAGCATGTTTTGGAAAAAGGCGAAGATGCAGACTTGTCGCAACCAGCAATTGTTAATTTGCAAAATTTGTTTACACCGTTTGAAATTAAATCAATTCGGGAAACCACCCTTGGGGCCAATCAGTGGTTGGAGAAGAACGAAAGATTGGAGTTTGAAACCAAAGGCGACTTCCGGAATAACGAAAAACGGGCAACTTTGATAAGAGTCCATGACGACAATCAGATAACGTTAAATCCGATGCAAATCCGAACTTTTGTAATAGAAATAGAAAAGAATTAATTGTCTTGTTGATACTTATATCGACACTTGAAACTTTGTGATAAGTCTCAGATACAATCAAAACACTGTTACTAACTGTATTCTTCTTATAAATAAAATTGTCATGCTTAAAATTGTTTCACTATGAGATTACAGTCCACACCGGGTGAGAAAAGTGTGAAAAGTCTGGTCAGTTTAGTGTTACAAATGACTTTTGCCGTGCTTTTGTTCTGTGTTTTCTTCGCTTTGAGCGTTGAGAGTAAACCTTTAGCCGAAGAAGAACCAACTTGTGGCTACGAGGTAAATAAATTTTTAAAAGTCAAAATCATGTTTTAAATTATTTAAGGCATGTCCCCAAGTCGGATCTGACACTTTCAACGTCCACCTCATCCCTCATTCCCACGATGACGTRGGTTGGCTAAAAACCCCCGATCAGTACTACTTCCAAGGTTTTATTAAATATAAGTACAAAACATYAAAACAATATGATTTTCTAGATGTTCAAAATATAATAAGCTCAGTRGTTGACGCTTTGAAACAAAACCCTGATCGAAGGTTCGTCCAAGTCGAAACCGCCTTCTTCCAGAAATGGTGGGAGCAACAAAAGCCCTACACTCGCGACGCCCTTCAAAAACTGGTCAATAACGGCCAATTTGAGTTTATTAACGCCGCGTGGAGTATGAATGACGAAGCTGCTGTCCATTACCAATCGACCATCGACCAGTTCACTCTCGGTCTGAGATACATTCAAGACAATTTGGGCAAATGTGCTAGACCGAAAGTGGGTTGGCAAATCGACCCTTTCGGTCATAGTCGCGAGCAAGCGTCCATTTCTGCCCATCTGGGGTTCGATAGTATGTTTTTCGCCCGTTTGGACTACAGGGATAAAAATCGACGATTGAATAACCGATCTATGGACTTATTATGGAGAGGAAGCGCAAATTTGGGCAACAGCTCGGATATTTTCACGTCAGTTTTGTATAGACACTACAGCGCACCTCCTAACTTCTGTTTCGATATTGTTTGCAACGATGCTGCAATTAATGACGATCCTGAGTCTCCTGATTATAATTGGGAGGACAGAGTCGGTGAATTTGCAGATTTTGTGCGCGAGCAAGCCAAGCATTACCCCACCAACAATATTTTGGTCACTATGGGGGATGATTTCAGATACGAGGCTGCAATGACTACTTATATGAACCTTGATCTACTTATCAAGTACCGATTGCATCACTCCTTGCCTTTTGTTTGTTTATTGTCGTGTTTTGTAGAGGTTTTGAAAGATTTGAACAAAAAGTTGACGATAAAAGAATTAAAGTGCTCTATTCGACCCCGTCTTGTTACACCAAAGCCGTGAATGACTATGTCAATAGTAACAATCAAACACTTGAATTGAAAACAGATGACTTTTTCCCATACGCTGATGGAGCTAACACTTACTGGACCGGTTATTTCACGTCGCGACCGGCGTCTAAACATTTCGAGCGTCAAGCTAATAATCTACTCCAAGTAATAATTCTCAATCACCGTTAGATTAAAATTAAGAGTTGAAAATTTTAAGGTCGTTAAACAAGTAGCAGCAAACACAGAACAACCCTACGATAGAGAGGAAATAACCATTTTGAAGGAAGCAGTCGGTGTGATGCAACATCATGACGCTATCACTGGTACTGAGAAGCAACACGTGGCCAAAAACTACCATTTTCTGCTATCTCGAGGAATGAAAAGCGCAAATGATTATGTTGGTGCATTGCTTTCGTAAAGTTAAACTGAGTGTTGCTTCATTTATATTAATATTTACTTTTTTAGTATTTTGATCAGTAGAGATGCGTTTGATTTTGAATTTGACTCATGTCTGCTTGCTAACGTTAGTTCGTGTACCCAAACCGACTCTGATAAGTTTACTCTCGTGGTCTACAACCCCCTTAGTCATAAAACCACAACTACAGTCATGCTACCAGTTTATGATAGAACTAGTTGGAAAATTACGGATCCAGATGCCAACTCAGTAGATTATCAAATCGATTCGTCTCTTACTGATTTCACTTACGTCGAAGATGCCACTACTTCTGCAAACACACTACAATTTGCAGCCAAAGATTTACCACCCCACGGTTTCAAAGTCTATCAATTTGAAGCTACGACACAAAAAGTGGAAACTGTAAAACCAAGCCCGAGACGAGTAGTAGGATATGATGTAAGTAATACTAAACTATGCTTTTCAAACTAARCCAATTCTCGTAGGACGCTAGTTTTGAAATTAGCGAACAAACAGGTCTTTTAGAAGCCGTCACCTTGAACGGAATCCGCGTGGAAGTGACTCAAGATTTCCAATACTATGAAAGTCAAGACAGTAGTGGGGCTTATATTTTCGTCCCWCAAGACCAAGAAGCTAAACGTATTGCCTCAGGTCCCATCAGCACAACTCTCGTCACCGGAAACGTCTCACAAGGAGTGTTACAAGAATTCGGGTCGTGGGCACGCCAGTTCATCAAAGTCTACAACGACGACCGAAGCTTCATAGAGTTTGATTGGATCATCGGGCCWATTGACATCAGTGACAAAGTCGGCAAAGAAGTTATAACAAAATTCACAACATCGTTGAAAAATAATGGAAACTTTTACACCGATTCAAACGGACGCGAATTCATGAAACGAACGAAAAATCACCGACCGGATTATGACTACAGTGATGAACAACCRGTTTCTGGAAATTACTATCCAGTGAATAATAGAATTGCGATTCGAGATGAGGARCAAAACATCGAACTTGCGATCATTACGGATAGGTCACAAGGAGGTGCAAGTCTCAGTGATGGAGAAGTGGAGCTTATGGTGCACAGAGCTTGCCAACATGACGATGGTAGAGGTGTTGGGGAGAATTTGAACGAGCAAGAATTTGGTCAAGGGATCAAAGTTAGAGGAAAACACTACTTAGTTGTAGGCCCAACTTCTGGAAACGGTAAATAACTCACTTTTACAAAATTTGTTTATTTCTTTATTCTCTATAGACAAAAAATCACTCGCTGCCATTGAAAGAGACATAGCCCAAAGAAAAACAGTAGCACCTTGGTTCTTCGTTTCAAACAAAGACGCAACTGGAGCCCTCAACCAATTAGAATACAGTGGTTTGAAGACCGATTTGCCCGACAATGTCCATCTTTTGACACTAGAACCTTGGGATGACGATACTGTCCTCTTGAGACTCGAGCATGTTTTAGAAAAAGGTGAAGATGACAACTTGTCGAAAGATGTAACAGTAGATCTATCCGATTTATTCACATTTTTCACCATCAACGAACTACAAGAAACTACTCTGGGAGCTAATATGCTTTTGGAAGAAAATGTAAGACTGCACTGGCCAGGTAGTACTGATTATAGTACCCAAAAAAGTAAAAGAGACGTGACTGATCTGAAAGTGACTTTGTCACCAATGGAAATCAGAACATTTTTAGCGAAAATTACTTACAATCCGTTGTAATTTCAACTGATAATAAATTATTAATCAAATAATTTTATTTCCTTTCCCTTTCCCAAAAATTCTGAAACAACACAAAATCTAATCATAATTATTCTGATAAAAGCCCGACTTTCGTCACCAAGTCTCATTTCTGTGTGAACTTTTGCAATGTATAGTTTAGTTGTGRTCTTGAGTACCAGTTTGGTACTCGCAAACTCAAACCGCATAGAWCCAACTTGTGGTTACAACGTAAGTACCAACAATAGCCCAGCACGAAACTAAAAAAATCGTAGTCTTGTCCTAAATGGGACCCTGACGTCCTCAACGTCCACCTAGTACCCCACTCACACGACGACCTCGGTTGGCTCAAAACAGTAGACAAGTACTACTTCCAAGACGTCCAAAATGTAATCGGTTCAGTAATCGGCGCTTTAAAGCAAAACCCAGATCGCAAATTTATACAAGTCGAAACTGCCTATTTCAAAAAATGGTGGGACCACCAAAACGATTTAGTCAAGCAAGATGTGATTAAACTGGTCAATAACGGACAATTAGAGATCAGTAACGGSGGTTGGAGTATGAATGATGAAGCTACTGTTAATTACCAGTCGACAATAGACCAGTATACTCTTGGTTTGAGATACTTGYAAGACWCTTTAGGTCCWTGCGCAAGACCTAAATCGGCCTGGGCTATTGACACTTTCGGCCATAGTCGAGAACAAGCCTCAATTATAGCACAGTTAGYTTTCGACAGTATGTTTTTCATGAGATTGGATTATAGAGACCGGGYAAAAAGACTGAAGGAGAAAACAGCCGATCTTTTGTGGCAGGGGAGCCAGAATTTGAACAATTCTGATATTTTCACTTCAGTTTTTTACAGAGGAACGTACAGTTACCCTGATGGTTTTTGTTTCGATATAGTTTGCAACGATGAACCCATTATCGACGATACTAACAGTACGGATTACAACTACGAAAAAAGGGTAGGTAAGGCCTGATATTGGCTTGATTTAACCCCCATTGACTTCAGATAGACGATTTTGCGGATTTTGTCCGTGGCCAAGCTGATAAATACCCCACAAATAATATTCTTGTAGCCATGGGAGACGATGTGCGCTACCAAGCCGCTCTTACCAACTATCTCAATATTGACAGACTTACAAAGTAAACAAAACATAAACTCACGGACAAACAAACAAAAAATATTTCTTGTAGAGGTTTTGAACAATTTCCTAGAAACTACACCGACAAACCTATAAAACTCGTCTACTCTACACCAGCATGTTACACGAAAGCTGTAAACGACTATGTTGTCGCAAATAATCATAAATTGGACGTGAAAACTGATGATTTTCTCCCATACGCAACTGACGGTTACGGTTATTGGAGCGGTTTCTACGTCTCTAGACCCTCAACTAAGAGATTCGAGCGAATTGGCAACAATTTCCTACAAATTTCCAAACAAATAGCAGCTATCAGTAACCAACCGTATGACAGTAAAATCACCCCATTGAAAGAAGCAATGGGTGTTATACAGCACCATGACGCTATTACTGGTACTGAAAAGCAAGATGTCCTCAAAGACTACCACCGGATGCTCTATTCGGCTATTGAAGAAGCGAACGAACTTGTGGACCCACTCTTGTCGTAAGTGACTCGTCTGGGTTTTGAAATTTTTTTAATTACTCTCCTTTAGTACAATAATCAGTGGTACCGATGATCATTTTCAATTCAAGACTTGTCTAATGTCCAATATAAGTTCGTGTAGTCCATCACGCTCAAGTAAATTCACTGTCGRAGTCTACAATCCGTTAAGTCGAATAATTTCAAGTCCAATAGAAATACCAGTTAGCTATCAAGCGTGGAAAATAACGGATCCTGATGGTAATTTTAATTTCTCCACAGTTTTAATTATTTTTTAACACAATTTTAGGAAATGAAGTTAAAAATCAAGTCGAATCATCAATCATCGACTTCAGTTACGTGAACAATGTTCCAAKTTCGCCCTACACTTGCTATTTCATTGCGAAAGATTTGCCCCCTTTGGGTTATAAAACATTCACTTTTACTAAATCTGACTCAAGGCAAAACTTAACTTTTGGTAACAATAACACCAGTTTCGAGATAGATGACGATACGGGACTCATCAAGTCGATTACCATGAATGGAGTCACAATGGAAGTGTCTCAAGACCTTTACTACTACCAAAGTGGCAGTTATTCGGGTGCTTACATTTTCGTTCCTTTAGTTAACGAAAAATATCGAGTGGCGGATGGTAAAGTCAAAACTACACCGATTTCAGGAAGTGTGTACCAAGGGGTTGTGCAAGAATTTGCCTCGTGGGCRAAACAAATCYTCAAAGTTTACAATGGTGATGAGAGTCATATTGAAATTGASTGGATTGTTGGCCCTATTGATTTAGTGACGTAAAASTTTCAATTATTAGACTGTTTCTAAGCTAAAATAAACTTGTAGAGAAAATGTCGGTAAAGAAGTGGTTTCAGTTTTTACTACTTCTCTCAAAACTGAAAGTAATTTTTATACTGACTCCAATGGACGAGAAATGCTAAAACGTWCTAGAAACTACAGACCAACATTTGARTACACTAACGAAGAACCAATTGCTGGTAATTACCACCCAATCACTTCAAGAATTGTCCTCAAAGATAAGAAAAAAGGACTAGAATTTGCAGTACTAAATGACAGGGCTCAAGGTGGTACAAGTCTCGAAGATGGACAAGTGGAAATTATGGTAGTGCTAAAATTGACACTCCTCGCAGTTAATTTTACTGTTTTAGATCCAAAGAAATTGTCCACATAACGATTTTAGCAGAGTTGGRGATAGCATCAACGACCAAGAATATGGGCAAGGAGTRATAACTAGGGGCAAACACTACATTGTTTTAGGCCCAARTTCTYGAAACMGTACTTGTAGTTRAAATTAGCAAAKTTAATTAATTCGTACTTTCAGGACAAAAATCTTTGGCGGCAATTCAAAGAGACGTAGCCCAAAGAAAATTACTAGCACCRTGYGCTTTCGTTACAAACKAAGATGTGTCTAAACGCCTCAAAAACRCACAATTTAGCAGTCTCAAGATACCACTCAGCGAAAATGTGCAAATTTTGACTCTAGAACCTTGGGATAATGGTACTATTCTCTTGCGTTTGGAACACATTTTAGAGAGAAATGAAGATGAAAATCTATCGAAAGAAGTTACTGTGGATCTATCGGTCAGTTGTTTTGTAATTGAATTAAACTAAATTTTTGTTTCAGGATTTGTTTACGACGTTTACTATCACAGAACTGGTCGAAATGACCCTAGGAGGAAACGTTCCATTGGCAGAAAATGTTCGATTAAAATGGCCAGGTCAGAAAAGAGTCCCATTAACGAAATTAGACGGTTTTAAAGTTACCCTAACACCGATGCAAATTCGAACGTTTGTTGCTAAAGTTGTTTATTAAATTATCTAATTCTTGTTTACAAATAAAGATAACATTCTAAAATTATTGTACTTTTCTTTTGGTTGTTACCCACCGCAACTAGATAACACCTCAAGTACCATCAAGTGTTGATAAACAAAACTCTAATTGTTTCCAAGTGAGAAAAACATTCTGTTCACACAATCAGAACAAACATGTTTCTCAAGCTCCTACTTTTGGTACTTTTGGCCCAAATTAGGGCAAAACCAGTAGAAGACGAACCAGTTTGTGGCTATGAGGTACGTTTCATTTTTCAACTAAACCAATAATAACAAARAAAAAGGCTTGCCCTGCGACCAACTTCTCGACTCTCAACGTCCACCTCATCCCTCACTCCCATGATGACGTTGGTTGGCTCAAAACCATGGACCAATACTATTTCCAAGATGTCCAAAATGTGATCAGTACTGTAATTCCGGCTTTGAAACAAAATCCCGACCGTCGTTTCGTTCAAGTCGAAACAGCATTTTTCAAAAAATGGTGGGAACAACAAAAAGATTCSATGAAGCAAGATGTCATCAAACTGGTCAATAACGGGCAATTCGAAATTATTAACGGGGCGTGGAGTATGAATGATGAAGCAGCTGTTCATTACCAATTCACAATTGATCAGTACACTTTGGGTTTGAGATATCTCGAGGATAAGTTAGGGAAGTGCTCAAGACCGAAAGTTTGTTGGCAAATTGACCCTTTTGGACATAGCAGAGAACAAGCGTCAATTTCGGCACAATTGGGTTTTGATAGTGTGTTTTTCGCTCGGTTGGATTACAGAGATAGGATTAATAGACTAGGGACTAAAACCGGGGATTTGATTTGGAGGGGAAGTAGCAATTTGGGCAATAGTTCTGATATTTTCACTTCAGTCATGTACAACCACTACAGTGCCCCTGCGGGATTCTGTTTCGATATTGTCTGTAATGATGATCCGATAATTGACGATGAGGAAAGTCCTGACTATAATTGGAAAAGTCGAGTCGAAGCTTTTGCCAATTTTGTTCGAGAGCAAGCCTCGAAATATCCTACGAATAACATTTTAGTACCAATGGGAGACGATTTTCGGTACCAAGCCGCCCTAAACGCCTACATTAACACCGACAGACTCATCAAGTAAAACAAATTTAACAATTTTGTCCTTATTCTCATTCATATTTAAGGGGATTTGAACTGTTTCCTCAAATGTTCGAAGACAAACCCATCAAACTCCTCTACTCAACTCCTACATGTTACACCAAAGCGGTTAATGACTTTGTTAATTCGAATGATTATAAATTGCAAATCAAAACTGATGACTTTTTCCCGTACGCAGACGGTGTTGCAAATTTGGTAGTTGGATACTTTACATCAAGGCCGGCTTCGAAACGTTTTGTCCGAGAAGGAAATGCTATGCTACAGGTACTACCCCGACTTACCTACAATTCTTTATTTATTTTTTTAATCAGGTGGCCAAACAACTAGCAACTGTAGCAAACTTACATTACGACAACGAAAATATTAACTCACTTAAAGAAGCAATGGGTGTTTTGCAACACCATGATGCTATAACTGGTACTGAATTAATTGACGTGACCCATGACTACCATCGAATACTTCATAAGGGTATTAGTGACGCTATTGATGCTGTTAACCCGATTTTATCGTAATAACAACAATTTTGGGTCTACATAGAAAACACAATTTTGTTTTCAGAAATTTAATAAGTGGTTCTGATACTTTACAACTGGAATCGTGTCTCTTAGCTAACGTCAGTGTTTGTCCTCAAACACAAACAGATTTTACTCTTACTGTCTACAATCCTTTAAGCCGAGTCATTTCGAGTCCAATCAGCATTCCTGTGGAAGCAAAAAATTGGAAAATTGTGGACTCCAATGGTAATTTTCACAAAACTTGATTCATTACTTAATTGAATTAAATCATAGGTGATGAAGTTGTATATCAAGTAGCACCCTCTATCACCGATTTTAGCACACTGGTCGATGAAAGCACCGTCCCCAACTCTCTAGATTTTGTGGCAAAAGACATTCCTCCTCTAGGCTACAAAGTCTACACTTTTACAAAACAGGCCTCTAAATCTACAAATCGAATCACGGTAGGCGCCGATGGTACTACTTTTGCAATCGACGAAGTATCCGGTCTTTTAAGATCAGTGACCATGAATGGGGTCACTATGAACATAACTCAAGACTTCCTTCACTACAAAAGTGGCGGACGATCCCAAGCTTACGTTTTCGACCCTGATGGTGACCCACAAAAAGTTGCCTCATCTGTCACAGTAAAGAAAATCGATGGCGATGTCTATTATGGAATAGTACAGGAGTTTAGCGACTGGGCAAAACAAATAATCAAAATTTATAAAGACGATAGCAGCTACATCGAGTTTGATTGGGTGATTGGCCCCTTAAATATTGAGTAAGTACGATTTCACAAGGCGACAAAAAACAAGTCATGTCGTGACAACTTGACAAATTTTATATCATTTTGCTCGACTCAGTGAGACAAATCAAATGCACTAAAAAAAATTCAAAAAGTCCACACACTTTGAACAAAATATTTTTTTTCTAATTTAAATGAATTTAAAATATTTTAACTTTAAAAAATCATTACTCAATAACTATTAGACTGATTTCCTTCAAATAAAGACCATTCTAACGGGATAGACTTGCCCTTTAGAATGATATAAAATTTGAAATTGAATGTTGTCAAACTTTTCTTTGAACAGTGTTTGAAGAAGTTCGAAGTAAATCGAAATAATCTAAGAAAAACCCTACGAGTAAACTTTTTTTCATCATTGCCATCGTGTAGAGCATCTCTTTATTAGTTGTAATCCAAATTTTCAAAAAAAATATACCAAGTAGTTTTCAAGATGATTTATTGAAGTTATGGTTTGCTAATCAAGCATTGCTCCATATAGGAGAAATGCATGTTAATCTTACTTAAAATTGCATTTTTATAAAAGTATTTGTTTTAAGACTCTTCTTTTGCTTAAAAATGGTCAATTGCACCTTCTTTGTTCTAATTAGAATAAACAAAAACTGTTTCTTTACTTAAAACAAACAAAGAGTACCTGCCTACTAATTAAAGCAAATAAAAAGTTTTTTTGTTGTAAAAATGACCACTGATCATTGAGCAAAGAGGATCTAGAAGTTTAAGGCACGAGTCTTAAATATAAGGGCAAATCTTTTTCAAATCAAATCACTTTCCATTAAGATTTCGACTTGTTCACTTTGTTCCAGCTTTCTGAACTTTTTTTGAAAATGTTCTGGGCAAATGCRTTCTCATCACTTTAGAGTGATGTTAAATGCAATAAGTCACCTGATTTATTTTGTTGGTACATTCTATGATTAGCTTCAGTTAGCTTGTAGGTAGTAGTTGTTGTGATAACAGTTGCACACGAAGCAACTGACTTATTGCATTCAACATCAGTAGAAAATGTTGAAAAAGCATTTGCTGAGAACATTTTCAAAAAAAAAGTTCAGAAAGCTAGAACAAGTTGGAATCTGAATGGAAAGTCATTTAATTTGAAAAAGATTTGTTGTTATATTTAAAGCTATTGCTTTTAACTTCTAGATCCTTTTTGCTCAATAATCAGTGATCATTTTTAGAACAAAAAAACTCTTTATTTGCTTTAATTAGTGCGCAGGTACTCTTTGTTTGTTTTAAGTAAAGAAACAGTTTTTGTTTATTCTAATTAGAACAAAGAAGGTGCAATTGACCATTTTTAAGCAAAATAAGAGCCTTAAAATAAATACTTTTTAAAAATCCAGTTTTAAGTAAGACTAACATCCTATATGGCGCAATATCTGAATAGCAAACTTCAACTTCAAAAAATCATATCTTAAAAACTACTCGGTATATTATTTTAAAAATTTGGATTCTTACTAACTCTACACTCTAACTCTACACGATGGTGACGAAGAAAAAAAATGACTCGTAGGATTTTTCTTAGATTACTTCGAACTTCTTCGAACACTGTTTGAAGAAAAGTTTGCCAATATTCAATTTCAAATTGCATATCATTCTAAAGGGCAAGTCTATCCCGTTAGAATGGTCTTTATTTGAAGGAAATCAGTCTAATAGTTATTGAGTAATGATTTTTTAAAGTTAAAGTATTTTAAATTCATTGAAATTAGAAAAAAAAATTTAGTTCAAATTTTTTGAATTTTTTTTTAGTGCATTTGATTTGTCTTACTGAGACTAACAAAATGATATAAAATTTGTCAAGTTGTCACGACATGACTTTTTTTTTGTCGCCTTGTATTATGGGTACTATCAACTTTGATTTATCACCCTTTAAAGCGATGGGGGCAAAGAAGTCATTTCGAGGTTTTCAACACCTTTAAAAACCGAAGGTGTTTTCTACACCGACTCCAATGGTCGCGAAATGCTCAAAAGAGTTCGTAACCAGCGCCCTGACTACGATTACACTGACGAGCAACCCGTTGCTGGAAATTACTACCCAGTGACTTCAAAAATCGTGATTCGGGATGAAAATGAAGGAGTGGAATTGGCAATTTTGAATGATAGAGCCCAAGGTGGTTCTAGTATCCAAGACGGGCAAGTAGAACTAATGGTACATCGAAGGATTAGAACTAATGATGATTTCGGTTTGGATGAGATGGAATATGGGCATGGGGTTGTAGTACGTGGGAAACATTTCCTAGTCTTGGGACCAACTTCTGGAAATGGTAATGGTACCATGATTTGTCACTCTTATTGAGCAAATTCTAGGTGAAAAGTCTTTAGCGGCGATTGAACGTGATATTGCTCAAAGAAAATTGCTACCACCTTGGATATTTATCACAAATCAAAATGGAAGTAGTTTAAAAAAATTAGAATATAGCAATTTGAAATCGCCATTGCCTGACAATGTCCAATTGTTAACACTTGAACCCTGGTCTGATGGTACTCTTCTCATACGCCTGGAGCACGTTTTAGAAAAGAATGAAGATGAGAAGTTATCAAAGGAAGTTACAATTGATCTCTCGGTATTTATTTCTACTACTTGTTTCAAATCATGACAATATGTGGAATATTTTTCAGGATTTGTTCGTTGCGTTCACAATTCAAGAACTCAAAGAAATGACCCTTGCTGGTAACATTCCCATTGAGGAGAACGTTCGCTTGCATTGGCCTGGTAGTACCAACGACGCCCCTCCAAAACCGCCCCGCGACGTCACCGACTTGACAGTCACCCTAGCCCCCATGCAAATCCGTACTTTCTTAGCCAAAGTCACTTATAACAAATTGTAGTACCACAAGCTAAATAAATTGTTTGAATTTAATGTTTTTGATTCTCCTGGACAACTCACGTCAATCAAACTAGACATAAGCGATTTGGCACTTCACAAATAAAATTAACGTAGGATTAAGTGAGCCCCCATAGCTGTAAGTAGATAAGCAGACGATGCCAGACCCTATTCGATGGTCCGGACACAATGGGAGATTGGGAAAACCTGCCTGTGGAGTTGTTGGCTCATTTGTACTGCTACCTGTCTAGAAGAGACCGACTCTCCTGCTCCCTAGTCTGCGAGAATTGGAAAAATGGTCTAGATCATGTGATTTTGTGGAAGACTGTGATAGTCCATGTGGATTCGGATTTGATGGGTAAGGACTCTAGTTTGCAACTCTATTTAATTCGTCGATTTTAGAACCTAGTACTGTGATGTTGTTAAGGGATTATTGCAAATATATCAAAAATCTGGAATTTGGTTGGGCTATCCCTCACAGAAACAACAAATGGGCCCAAGTTAAGTATAAAGAATTGACCAAGAGGGCAGTACGGTTTTTTCTCATTTTGTACGACAACTATATACAAATCCACAGTTTGAGGATTTTTAATTGGTTCGACTTTATGTCCTTCCAAAAAGTTACTTATCACTTATCTAGATTCCTCAAGTGTGTATTCGTTGATTTTTCTTTAGAAACTAACACCAATTTCTAGAAACCAAGTAAGTTTGAAAAAAATCGTCTTTGACAATATTAACATGCACAGTGCAAACTACATGAAAGTGTTTACTTCTTGTTTGGGCTCCAGAGGCTCTATTACCCACCTAGACATCCGCAGTTGTTACTACTGTCAGTCTTCCTTTGACTGTATATATTTCAGAAGTTGTATAGAGCAACTTACTTACCTGAAAACTTTCAAACTTGACTATTTTATCCTATCGTGTAGACTAATCGACTCGATTTTGACCAGTAAAAACAGATGTTTGGAAAATTTGGAAATTGTTTTAAAAGAGACATCGTGGCATGACCACGTTATTGATGACGAACAGTGGTGTCTACTATGCAGCGCATGCCCCAATCTCAAAGTTACTCTAATCATAAGTAAGTTTATTTTAGAGAAATACAATTTCTAGTTATTGTCTKTCAGGGAATGTCTATCATTACGGTGAATTGCGACTTTACCTCAAACAATCGATACCAATAGTGTCGCTCTCTATTATTCTACCACGGATTATGGATAGAGGGGGCAGGTGTAARTTTCGAAAAACTCTAAATTTGCTAGTAACAAACTATCACAGGACTCTTGGTACTGCCACATTGTGACTAAATCAATAATCAGTACTTTTTCACCAGAAACCATCGATTTGCATATTAAAAACGACGGAGAGATAGTGGACGACGTCCTCCTAAGATTGATCCGAAGATGTTCAAAATTYAAAAGTGTCCTCTTCAACGGCTATTTGGAAAATCCCCAGATGCTAAAAAGCTCATTCAGCGATATCACCTTCTTCTGCATGACCCCCAACACCCTCCCTGACAAACACCTCGTTTTCAGCAAAGTCATCAGAGATGATATCACTGAATTGAGACACAAACGAGTGCAATTCACACTAATCAAACGTAGCCCTAAATCAATTTGTTCGTTACTTGTCTTAAATTAAAGTGAAATCTTTTCGAAATTTTATTTAACTCCGACCTGTACAACTTTTACAATGCATGTTCAAAGCCCCTCTTGAGGTGAAACCGGAGTTACAAAACTGGCACACGTAGGGCCGTTCCCCCGTATGACTCCTCAAATGGATTCGTAGAGGGGCCCCCTGACTGAAGCACTTGCCGCAGTACTCGCACGAGTAGGGCTTTTCCCCACTGTGCACCCTCTCGTGCATCACCAAATAATCCTTCTTGGTGAAACTCTTAGTGCAATAACTGCAAGTGTAGGGTTTGACGCCGGTGTGGACTCTATAGTGGACCCTCAATTTGTTTTTTTGAGCAAAACCTTTACCACACAAGTCACACAAGTGTTTTTTCTCGTGTGGGAGTTTCACTTCYACGTGTTTGTCCTGGAAATGCTTCTCGAGTGTCTCCAYTTTGCTGAAAATTTTGCTGCAAARGCTGCATTGGTTGGGGAGGAGGCGACCCTCGATTCCGACTCGGTGGCATCGGATTTGGTGAGTGAGGAGGTACCGCGAGTAGGCAAAATCCTTGTTGCAGACCACACAGATGAAAGGCCGTAGCCCCAAATGTTCGTTATTGTGTTCTTTGTACAAAACCACATCGTTGAAGCCTTTGCCACAAGTGGTGCAAACGTAGTAAAATTTCCTCAAGTGAACGTAATTTATATGAATCAAAAGACTGGTGCGTTTGGCTGTCTTGTAAGTGCATTGGGGACACCGAAATATTTTATCCTCGCTGTGTATGACCATGTGTGTGCCATAACTGTACGCTTTTGTGAATTTTTGCTGGCAAATGGAACACTCGAAGAATTCCTCATGACTCTTTACGTGTTTTTCAATTTCTTCGCGTTCTTGATACTCGGCTGAGCAAGTGTTACAGATGAATATTTCCTGGATTTCATCGAATTTGTAAGAGTGTTTTTCGGATGAGTCTTCAACGGTGTGTGTTTTACGATGCTGTCGCAAAAGTCGAACAGTTTTAAACTCTTGAGAACATTTGTTGCAAGACCAAATTTTGGTAGAATTGTAAGAGCGTTTGCGACGAGTATAACTTTCCTCCTCACTCACATCGCTAGGAGTATAGTTGGTATCGACGTTTTTGCGTTTTCGGCGTAACCGTCTGAAAGAGAAATGGATTAATTCGAGGAAAAAGGCAATTTTAATACACACGTACTTGCCGACCATATTTTTACATTCGCAAAAAATTACTTTAATTTGCAAAGATAAGTGGGACTGACTTTTGGATATAAACATAACTAAACTTAAGATAACAGATGCAAATTTTTGGTTTCATTAATTTATAGTTTTCAAGAAAAATTTATTCTCCAAATCCAAGAAACAATAAGCTCAGTTACCTTTGTGGTAAGGTTTATTGCACATGCTCAAAAAGTCGAACCCACTTATCTTTGGGTTTGCTATACTGAATTGAGCCTTAGTAAAAAATTACTTACCTTCTCAAACTATTGGTTTAAAAAAAACTACAAAAAACGCTTTTTAAGTAACCTTTAATTATAAATATTACAAAAACTACTAACCAAAAAATCGGTAACTAAACAAGAATTCACAGAATTGAAAAATAGCCTCAACGTCAAGCTGGATGATTCTTCAAGTGTAGCGACAATTGTGCTTTCGAAGAGTACTTTTTGTCACACAGATGGCAGTTGTATGGTTTTTCACCAGTATGTGACCTTTTGTGAATTACTAGAGGTGACCTTTGTGAAAATTTTTTCCCACAAACGTCACATTCGTAACGTTTATCCCCAGTATGGATTCGCTCATGTTGAACCAATGTTGTCTTAAGTGTAAAGCGTTTTCCACATTGASAACAAATGAATGACTTATCGCCRTTGTGAACTTTCAAGTGTCTTGTCAGGTGATCTTTAGAAGTAAGGTGTTTTCCGCAAAGATCACACAAAACGGGTTTTTTTTCTTTTTTCTTAGGTTGTGTCGTGTTATCGTCGTCACTTTCTTCATTACTCGGAACGAAGTCACTGTCACAAGGATCATCTCCGTATTTTTCTATGAAATATTTTCGTTTCCTGACCTGATGAGGTTTGCAGTAATACCTGAAAACAAGCAGGTTAGTTTCAGAGGGAAAACAGGATTGTGGACCCAAAATTATGACAAAAAAAAAATAACAAGAACAAGTTTTATTCAAGTTTCAACAAAAAAAATAATTGGAAATCAAAAAATAACAAATTCAAGCAGGATGGTTCTTTAAATGGTGTGTTAACTGTCCCTTTGAAACGTATTTCTTGTCACACAAATGACATCCGTAGGGTTTTTCACCCGTATGTAACCTTCTATGGACTACTAGAGGWGTCCTCTGTGTAAATTTTTTACCACAAATGTCACACACATGACGCCTATCTCCAGTATGGATTCGCTCGTGTACAACTAATACYTCTTTAATTGCAAAAGATTTTCCACATTGYGAACAAATGAATGGCTTCTCGCCATTATGACGTCTTCTAATGTGTAGCTTCAATTCGTGTTGAGACGAAATGTTTTTGCCACAAATGTCACACAAAACGGMTTTTTTTACTTTTTTTTTAGGTCGTCTTTTGTTGTCGTCGTCACTTTCTTCATCACAACTCAGAACGAAGTCACTGTCACAAGGATCATCTCCGTATTTTGCTATGAGGTATTTGCGTTTCCTGACCTGGTGTGGCTTGCAGTAGCTATATTTCCTGAAAAAACATCGACGTTAAAACCAATTAAAACATAGGTGCCGCCCAAAAAGTATTCCAAAACCAAGAAATTTCAATATTTTTGAAATTTTATTCAAAAATCAAAGAAAACAATTAATTTTTACAGAAATACAATAATGAAGAACTATTACTAATTTCAAAATAAAAACACGAAAATAAATTATACAAATTTATATCCAGAAAACAAAATAATGGGCATTTAAAATGCCGCCCCTCACCGGAAAAATTCAACCAAAGTAAGACAATCCAAATTTATTCACAACAAGAAAAACACCGAACCCCTAATCAAGTGGCATCCCTGAACAAGTTTTCAAATGAACCCCCAAAAGTCCCTTGGCGACGAACCCCCTAGTGCACAAATGACACACATACGGCCGCTCCCCTGAGTGGTATCTTTGGTGAATAACAAGAGTGGACCTCTGCGAGAAGCATTTGCCGCAAGTGTTGCAAACATACGGCTTTTCGCCACTGTGCACCCTTTCATGCAACGTCAAGTTGCACTTTTTGGCGAAACTCTTGCCACAGACCGAGCAGGTGTGCGGCTTGTACCCTGTATGAATCCTAATATGCTGCTTCAAATGCTCCGAACTCGACAAACTCTTGCCGCACATTTCACACAAAACGGTGTTTTCTCCCGTGTGCCCCCGAATGTGCAACACTAGACTCTTCTTATGCGCAAATCGTTTGTGGCAAATGTCACACTCGTGTGTGGCTGGAGACACGGATTGCACATCCGGATGCATAGTTTTTTTATGCGCGATCAAATATCTCGTGTAGGGAAAACTCTTGAAGCAGATTTCGCACTCGAAGGGCATAGCACCTGTGTGGAAGTTCTTGTGTTCCTCGTACCATGTCGCTGATGCAAARCCGCGGTTGCAAATCTCGCACCGATATTTAAACTCATCTTCGTGCTTCTGCTTCAAATGAGGACGCAAAGATTTCAAAAGTTTTGTAGTGAAATTGCACATAACGCATCTGTAGATTTTCTCAGTGGAGTGAATGTTGTAGTTGTGGATGCACAACTGGTAGGCATTTTTGAAAAATTTGTTACACTCGTCGCAAGCAAAGTGTTTTTCTCCATGTTGGTTCTCCACGTGCTTCTCGTAACTCTTCAAGGAAGTAAAATCGGTCAAGCAGACCGGACAAAGGAAGTAGTCGCCACTAGAGTGGTCTCCAAGACCAAGACTCTCAGTTTCATTCTTGTGAAACTCGTAATGTTCAATCAGAGATTGTTTATCTTCTTGAACGTCTGAACAAATCATGCAAGCCCATTTTATACTACGATTTTCCGGAGTTGAGCGTTTTTTCACTTTGCGATTACTCGGTTTCGAGTTGGTGTAAATGAAGGGGTTTTTGTAAGGGATTTTTTTGCCTCGTGTTTTCATTTGGTTGAGGGACTTTAATCGCAGTTGTTGCTTCACGGGGATTATGTCGACTTCCGGAAGTTTGCATTTTAGCATTTGCTCCAAATATTGCCTGAAAAAGAAAAAGATTAGAGAATGTTCAACTAAAAAGGCAGCTTGAAAGCAATAACAAAAAGAAATGAAATAAAAAATTCGTATTTTTCTTTGAATTTTTTTATTGGCTACATATGGGGTGTTACAATCGAATTCGAATCACAAATTTGCAACTTACCTACCTGACACAGTCTCAGTAGTCCCATTTATCTCTAGTTTGGCATATGTTTTTAAGTGGGAAAATAAAAAACTCGTTATTTTAATCAAATTTATTAATAACAACAAATTACTAAGCTTAGCTACCCCCGCCCATGCACACCTTCTGATGCATATTGAGCGACCCCTTTGAAATAAACCCATTGTTACAAAATTGACAGATATAGGGCCTCTCCCCTGTGTGTCCCCTCACATGAATCCTCAAAGGCGCCCCTTGATTGAAACTTTTTCCACAAAACTGACAAACGTAGGGTTTTTCCCCCGTATGAACCCTCTCGTGCATAATCAAGTAATCCCTTTTGATGAAACTTTTACTGCAGTACTGACAAGTGTATGGTTTAATCCCCGTGTGGACTCGATAATGAATCCTCATTTTGTCCTTGGTACCAAAACCCTTGCCACAGATATCACATAAATGTCGCTTGACCCGCGGTGCCCCCGAATTGGAGTGTCGCACAGTCATGTGTTTCTCCAAAGTGTTGTCTTTGGCAAAAACTCTCAAGCAAATCGGGCATTGGTTTTTTAGGAGTTGCCCTACGATACCAACAGTGTGGTACCGCAATTGGTGTAATTGGAGGTAGCGGGAATAAACGAAAGACTTGGTGCAAACCACGCAAACAAACGGTTTGACCCCCAAATGCTCGTTCGCGTGCTCTTTGAATCTGACGGCGTCATTAAAACCCTTCCCACAAGTCTTGCAATTGTAGTAAAACTTCCGGTAGTGCGTCATGTTGATATGAGTCAACAAGCAAGTCCTTCGATTTGTTGAATACGAGCAAAGACAACATCTGTACATCCCATCTTCGTTATGTTGTTGCAGATGACACGAGAAATTATACGCTTTGCTAAACCTCTTATTGCACTCGTCGCAAGAATACGTCTCAATGTGGTTCTTAGTAATGTGCTCTTCTGCTTCGGTTTTATCCTGGAATTCCGCCGAACAAGTGTTACAAACGTACACTTCAAGTGCAGAGTCGTATTTGTACGTTTCCAACTCTTGGTCTTCCGATTTGTGCGTTTTTCGGTGAGCGATAAGTGCTTTGCGGGTTGGTAGTTGAGAAAGACATTTTCTGCAGGTCCAAGTGCGCGAACGCCGAGTGCTAGGCTTGGTAGTAGGAGGTGTGTAGTCGTCGTCAGAGTCGGCTTCGTGGTTGGTGCGACGACGCACATTGCGGGTTTTGCGGCGACACCTGAAAAAAAGGTGTTAATACCACACGCCAAGAATCTGAAATTATTTTCCTCTAAGATAAAGTAGCTTTGAGCTTACCTTTTCAACACTTGGCCGCYTTATTAYAACATCACCCCTGAAATAAAACTGAATAAAAATACTTTAAAAAAAGTATAACAATATGGTAAATTATTAATTAAAGTAAATATTACTGTATTGTTACAGAAATTACGTGCGTATTTAAAATTTCAACTTGTTCGGACAAGAACTGTCTCAAATAGCGATGTTGAAATTTCACCCTTTAACATCTTCATCCCTGTTGGAGATAGGGGATTGAGTTTGCCCTTAAAAACCCCACAAACCCGTAGGATTTTTTCTGCTCTATCGAATGGAGTTGGTTTCGTCTTTGTATTACAATTACAAGTCAAGATATTGATAATTGTTAATAACAATTGTTAACTGTCTCTTTGACTCGTGCAGARAGACAGACAACAAAGCAAGTTAAACAAAAGCTTATAAAAATAGAGAGAAAAACAACAATATCCAAAAAATTTATTTAAGTTAGTTATTTTTTTTCCCACAACTTTTCGGTTCCGTTTTAGGTACCGGTTTAATTTCGGGATGATGCATTAAAACATGCTTCTTGTATGACTTATAAGTGTGATAGGTTTTTCCACAACTATCACACATATTCGTGGTTTCGCCTGTGTGCATCCTCATATGCACCTTAAGGTTGTATCTATTTGCGATTTTCTTGAAACAAACCGGACACGAAACCGTCCGATCCTCCCCGATTTTATGTATAGCACTCAAATGTCTCTTCAAACTCTTCTCAAACTTAAATATTTTCCCACACTCGCGACACGGGTACGTCATATCATAGCCGTACAACTCCTTGTGGTGGTTCAATTCGCGGTGAATTTTGAGATAATTCGCAGTTTGAAACTTCTTAGGGCAGTACTCACAGGTGTACTTTTTTATACCCGAGTGAAGCTCCATATGGGTGTTATATTTAGTTAAACCGAAGATTTTCTTCCCGCAAAGGTCACACTGATGGGCTTCATGCTGTTGRAGATGTCTCTTCACCATTGGAATTTTGCAGCTGACGTAGGAACACTTCGGACACGAATATTTTCCCGATTGGTCGTGACTCTCCTTATGAAGGATAAAATCATACGCGTCGTGGAAACTATCTTCGCATTGGCCACACTGATATTGTTTTTTGACGTGATAGGTTTTGTGCTTGACCAATTCTTCTTCAGTAGGGAAAGTAACACGACACTGGTCGCAAYAATGGTAATGGGAGCGYCTGTGGATGGCATAAGCGCGGTTATCCTTGCACATGAWGCCACATTTAGCACAAAGAACACTKGGAGAGACAACGTCCGGCATGTAGTAATGTATTTCGTACATATGTGTTGCTAAGTAGTTCAAAGTTACAAGAACACCACACTCTTCACACACCACTCGATCACGTTTTTTATGGTTTGGAACTTGTAGAACTTTGGGAGGTGGTGCTTCTTCGGTTTTATCCGTTTCTTCCAAAATATTTAGGGTGCTTTGACCGTCTTCATCTTCTATATGTAATATTATGGTTTCTTGAATATCACTTAATTCAAACCTAAAATAAAAAATGRTWAGTTTTATTGTTTCATTTAAACACACTTTAAAAACAACATAAAAATATAATAATAAACTTGGAATTTTTTATTATTTCTTTATTATTAACGACCTTTTTACACAAAACAATACAAAGGTAAAAATATATTGAGCCTAATAATAGTTACACTGATAAATGAATAATTTATCTAAAGCAAACAAAACAATTTTTAATACATAGAAAAGATATAAATACACAAACAAGTAGTTTTTCAATTGACCACACCCACTTATGTAAAATTAGATAATGCGTCTTTGGATAAAATGTATCACAAATAATTACCTAACTTAAAATCAATTCAAGAACAAATAAAAAAATAACTAAACTGAAAAAAACCTAAAACTCAGTTTTTTTAATTTATAGAAATCTAAAAAAATCCTTCTACGGTACAGTAGTTCCCAAACAAATCATAAACACTTTTTTTTTAAATAAAATTATGAAAAAGTCTAGTTTCGCATGTTCTACATATTTTGCAAAAATAAATACGGCCCTTTACAAGACTTCAAATGTATGTTCAGCATAGCTTTGGCCACAAACCCTTTCCCGCACGCCGTGCACACATAGGGCCTCTCCCCCGTGTGCCCCCTTATGTGTATAACCAAACTAGACCTCTGCGAAAAGGCCTTCATGCAATATTCACAAACGTAAGGTTTTTCACCCGTATGAATCCGTATATGTTCGACTAGAATCGGTTTTTTGGTAAAACACTTGCCACAGTAGGTGCAACAAAACGGCTTATACCCCGTATGAGTCCTCAAATGAAACTTCAACTTCTCCTTACTTGACAAAATCTTGCCACAAATATCACACACTGCGACATTTCCTGTGTGGCTATTCATGTGCAGTTTTAAACTGTTTTTATGTTGGTACTGCTTCTTACAAATGACACACTCGTGCAAATCCGGGTTGGCTTTGTGAATAAGGGCCCGGTGTACTGACAAGTACCGCGCGTACGCAAAACTTTTATCGCACAAATCGCAATGGTAAGGTTTGAGGTTTTTGTGGTCGTTCTCATGGTCTTTAAACCATTTTAAGATCGGAAAATGTTTCTTGCAAATATCACACGTGTAGGGTTTTTCTTGGTCGTGACGACTTTTCAAGTGATCGGAGATTTGAACGATGTTATCAGTGTTGTAATCACAGAAAATACACTTGAAGTTCATTTCGTCGTTATGAATTCGCATGTGAGTCACGTAATCGATCAATTTTTTATGTGTGGTACCACACTTTTCACAATGGAAGTATTTGCTATGCATCACAAGATGGTCCTTCAAACCGTTTTTTTGCTTGAAGGTTTTGCCACAAATGTCGCAAGGGTCGACGAAGACTGGCTTGCGTTTCCTACGCCGAGGTTTGGACTCGATCTCCTTTAGGGTTACGATAGGTGTCAAAATATCCGGAATGTACCTAAAACAAAAATATTTAGATAAAGAATAAAACAAACAAAACATAACATAGAATAGAAAAATCACAATAAGCAATGATATTTTTATTATTAATTACTAATTTACAAAATTTTATTTCTAGTATTATAAAATAATCAACTCGCTACCTAAAAAAAAAAATAGTTAATTCGTAGTTATTTCTCTTTGAGTTACTTACCAGTCGAAAACTAAATGAAAATCAAGGAATAAAACTGCAGGATCTCATAGACTAAATAAAAATATGTATTTACTCAAATAACTTTACAATAAATTATGAAAAAATTAACTACCAAACACACCGAAACTCTAATATATAGGTATTGCGGTACAAGTCTTCATATGTGTGTCCATGACGCCCTTCGAAATATACCCTTTGCCACAAATCCGGCATATGTAGGGCCGTTCCCCTGTGTGAGTCCTCTCGTGGATCCTCAAAGGCGACCTTTGAGTGAACCCTTTCCCGCAGAAATTGCAAATGAAGGGCTTCTCCCCCGTGTGTACCCGTTCGTGCTCCTTCAATTGTTCCTTACGCGAGAAACTTTTAGTACAAA